GCGCGCTCATGATCTCATCCGAGAACCCGCATTTACGTGGCTCCCGAGCCCCCCCTCAGGTCCCCCCGTCAAGGACCCGTCAGGAAGGGGGAAGGCTCAAGGGAGGTTCTATCCAAGTTCTAGAATGCCATTAGAAGGTTGAGCTTAATCCCACGGCAAGTAGGGGGGGGCAGAAGAAATCTCCCATTCTCCAAGGGGATTACTGCCACAGCTCAGGGTTTTGTCATTCCTTTTTGGAAATTGGAAACCCATAAGTTGCGCGCGCGCAAAGCTACCGAGCCATGGGCCATGGCTAACGGCAACAGGAGCCCACTCCCCATTCCCAACTACCGGGACGGGATGCTGACTACCAATCTCTCTGGTGAGATTACAGCCTCTCATCGATGTTCGGTCTCGCGGAGCTGCTTGTTTGCTGTATTGTAACAACGGGTTATTATGCTCTCAGCCCGGCAGACATGTGAACGCCTGGCCAAGAGGTGATTTGCACACCCAAAGGCTGACGGGTTGGTCCATCGTCCCGCCTCAGATTTTCCGCCTCCCTTTTCCCCAGCCTCGTCCGGGTCAGAAAGGCGCAAGTTAGGATGAATTTCTATTTTCAGCCTGCTCAGTGGGACTTTGTTATATTTGAACTGATTATGGGGAAACAAGAGTGTGTTGTGTGTTATGCAACGGAAGCTGACCTCCCGCAGGTAAGTGCCATGAAGCAAACGGCTTGCCGGTGGGCTGGGCTGGGGAGAAGGGAGGGAAGGGCTTCGTTTGCTTTGTTCCGATACAGAATTTCCGCCTGGCGCGCGCCCGTTCTTGTCTTACATTTCCGAACATTCTTTGATGGTATTCCATGTTGTGACGCACAATGCCGTACTATGATGTACGCTTCTACCTGCCGGTTCCGGCCAGTCTCTATTCTAGCTCTGTTCTCCTCCCTTTCTTCCTCCTCAGCGGCTTTTTGGAGTAAATGGAGACATAAGGGTTGTCGTCTTTGCTGATAATACGCAGTATCAAGCTTCTGGGCATTCCCCAGTGTCCTAGAAGGATGCAGCAACTACCCGCGGGTATCAAACAGAGGAATGTTGTGGCTTTCCGTTGGGCGCCGCGTCCTGCCTGTCCTACATCTTTCACGTGGCGGGCAGACATTTCTTCTTCTCTCTGTCCTTCCATACCACCGTCGATGTTGTGGGTGTCCGACCAATGGATGGGAAGCTTTCCATCTTTCGTTCCTCATTTTGTCCTCGCGAGATCGCGAGAGTAACACATACATCGCACACACGCGCGCACGCACACAACGAGATTTCTCCCACGCTCGTGGCTTGAAGCCATGTGGTGCTCAAGTCTCACAATGGAATCACAAACAAAGTCTAGTCTGTGGCGAACTGCTTAGGGTAGTCCACGGCGTCGCTGCTTGACAGCTTACTGGAGGGGGGGAGAAGTCCACGCCATTGCCATGCCTGTAGACTGATTAAAGACAGGTTTCCGCTCTTCCGGGTACGAGCTAAACGTGCCGTGGCATCCACGCATCTCGGGCCCCCCTTTTTCCTTGTCTGTCTTCGAGGAGACGGCTTTTGGCGTTTGAACCAAGAGATTCACTGGGAAACCATCACAAAAACCACTTGTGCTGTCCCACCGTGCCCACCTACCTAGGTATTAGGATAAGTCCATCGGACGCGGGGCTTAGGAACCGCAGTCACGGGTTGAATGTTGTGCCTCTGCTTCTTGACTAAAGGTAGTTGACGGCGGCGGCTATCAGAGTCTGGACCAGCGCAGCACAGATGTGTTCCTCTCTGTGTTGGGTTTACACCACATCAGCCTCGGCTGCCCGCTGGAGGGGGGAGAAGAATTAAAAAAACAGCGTGCCTGGTTTTAGGCTGGCTTGCATCGTGTGCCCGTTTCTGACCTGCTGTTTTCCTTACGCTGCTTGATACACTTTACAGCCTCCATGGCCTGATTATCTGATCCCACGTAGGTACTCACAGACATAGAGACGTTCACGTGGCTCAGTGAAAAGGGGAGAAGGCGAACTTTGTCCGGATTCCGTGTCGCGCGTGTGCGTAGCGGGCAGCGAAGTCCGCCGTCTGATCGAGATGCCGGGAATTCAGGTGGACACGCGCGTGCATGCTCTCTCCGGATTTAGGTTAAATGTCCTTTTCCCCCCCCTGCAGGCTAGTTCAATCGGAGAAAGGAACTGGAACGGCGGAGAGGCATTCTAGGGGTTTCCGATCTAGAGACACGTTCTCTCTCTCTCTTTCTCAGTCTCAGGCTGTCTTCCCTCTCTGCCTATCCCTTCACGCCCTTGTGTTAGATGCCGTTCGATTTTTGCGTGTAAATCCGTACGGTTGCCGAACAAGCACCGGATCGACAGCGCCAGCAATTTGCGTGATCAGCAAAAGCCGGAGTGTGTGTGACTGTCGTGTTGTGTAGGTGTGTGTGTGTGTGCGGAGAAAGGAAAAAAAAACAAGGAGATGCCCCGGATCTCTAGGCAATGCGACGATGGCCACACTTTCCATTTGCATGGCCCGTGACCGCTCTTTCTAGCTCTCCCTTCTTTTCCTGTCTGCCGGGACCAGCGTTACCCGCAGGTTCATTTCACGTTGCTCTTTTCGTAATCGGCGTATCGGCAGTTCAATATGAAAAACGAAGGGGCCCCACGCACCGGGGCTGGCGTGGACGACCTCCATGGAGGAAAGAAAGCTATTGTTTCTCGGTCGAAGCCTCGAGGAAGAATACGAACTAGGGTAGTGCGTTGTATCCCGAACTGCGTAGAAGACGAGCAGAAAAAAAACTGAAGTCCTTTTCTCCGTACGCTACGTTTCCTAGCGTCCAAGTAATCGGTCATCTTCCGTATCGTGGGGGGCAGTAAGAAGGGGGTCGAACGAACTACCAGTACCACCATCACCACTACTGTGACCCGTCAAACTCGTCAAGACTTATCTCGAACGAGTCTTTGCCGCACCATGTTGCCGGATTCTCTGCCCTGCGACGTTGGACGACAGCTTAGCTAGCGCTGTCTCTTCTTTTTCCCTTCCCTCTCCTTTTTCCCTCAGGAACGTCCGAGCATTTTGCGGCCAGACTTTTTTGGACGCCATGAGGACATCGAGCGGCGGGCGGCCGAGGCCGTGAACCCTTGGCGGAATCCATTCCGATCATTGCCAATCGCCGGTTCGGCCGCCGGCGACATCATCGACTAAAAACCCCGGGGGGAAGGGGAGGTGGGGGGGTTTAATTCTTCCCATCCGTAGGAGCAAGCCATGGTTTTGGACGTACTGCAGAGTTCCGACGATGACATGTCGCGACTGACTCGACCAGGTGGCAAAAATACAATCAGCAAAGATGATGAAGGATTGGGAAGAAAGCACGGTCACAGGCGAAGGTGAAGGACTGCTACAATAGCTTGAACCCGGTGGACGAGAGAGTGTGGTAGAAGGGAAAAAATGTCCCCACACTCCGAAACCGAACAAAACGAAGCCGACGCCGACGGTGTATACGATCGCCCCTTGCAGGATTCGCCCGGCCGGCGCATCGTCAACATCGGCCGGGTCCTCCCCCCCCCTCTTCCCCCGATTTCCCCAGAGCCCCGCCGGACGCCAACATCGTTTCTCTGCTGCGGTTCACACTACGCTTCCCGAGTGAGAGAACGAAGGGGGGGCGAACCAGCGGGCGTGTGTTTGCTGTACATACGAGACGACGGCGGACGCACGAAACATTTGGATTGCCGGGTGGTTCCCGATAATCTCAAGTCAGCCAAGACCCTTTCTTTAATGCCGTTCTTTTTCGTTTAACATGGCAAGGATGAAGACTTTTCCCCCCTCTCTTTTGTCGTATATCTCTGTGCTGTGTTGGCATGATGATCTTACACATACACTCATCACGGGTAAGGCATGCATATACAAACATGCTGTTACAGTCAACACATATCCATGATAGACAAGCACGCACACGGGACGGGATGCTAGTTACTACTGCGACTATTATCTCACCTCCGTCCCTGGACCTACCATAGACGCAACCGAGAAACGGCACGTCAAACTATGATTGGTATCATTGAGACAATGGACGCTACGCTGCGTGGAAACCAGCTGGGACCCTCGGACCCTTGGGATGCAACTTGGACTACAAGACTCTTCACCTTACGGTCCTTACCTTTCTTTCCGTCTTTCTTGTTCCTCCCAATGACGTACGGGTAATGCTCAGCCGCCCTTTTTACACGCCTTGGATGGTGGGAGGGGGGCAAGTCGAGGAGACCGCAAGAAACATAATCCCGCCTCAGAACCGCGGGCCAAGGCTGCGAGGGTAAAGCTTGAGCCAAGCAAGTCCAAAGTCAATCTGGGTGTTTCGTTCAAAGGTCAGAGAGGAGGAGGGAGGGGGGCTGTCTCAATGCTTCACCGTGCACCGCCCGCCCAATTAGCGTCCCAAGTGAGGCTCAGCAGAGGGGAGGCAGAAGAAAGTATGGACGGAAAAGCGGGAGTGGCTGGATGGAGACGGGGAAGATGGGTTCGGTATGCGCGGGCACGTCGTTCACACGTTCGACGGGAGCTTCGGGCGTGTTAGCCACCATCACCAACCCTACCTTTCTTTCACCAACCCCCGCGTGTATGCGTTGTCACCAATATTCCCTCTTCGCCGGTTCGTCGTTTGTTCTCTGGTGTCCGACAACGAAGAAGTTCCCGCCCATGATAATCCGGGGCCTCCGCATCAGACGTACGCGCAAGTGCGAGATCCGTCGTGCTCGTCATACCTCGTCGGAGAAAGCTGGACGTTGAGTGCATCCTGCCCTGAGCGTCATCTGGTGCCGAGTCAGTAGAGGCTCCAGTTCGGTTGTTTGATACAGATTCGCTTCCCCCCTCCATCCCCCCTTCGACGTCACTTTGGTCTTTGCGGCCCAACGTACGCCTTTACCCTATCCTGTCAAAGAAAAGGGTAAGTCGCTAATAGCTGTCCTTTGACAAAGGCCTGCGGCGACCTTACTCCTCCATTCTCCCCCTGGATCACATATACCCCCATCAATGATGTTATCCTCTAAAGTATACTCCCCGCCAGAAACGGAGCGTTCGGCTGTGCAGCTGCAGGAGCTTCAGGACCTGCAGAAGCAACATAACCAGCAGGTGCAGGAGGTGCAACGGCAACAGCAGCAGCAGCAGCGACAGCAGCGACCACTAGGCGTAACGGGACTGGGAGGTCTTGCGCAGGGAGTAGGAGAAGCCGAGTCGACGACTCTCAACAACGGCGGCGAGCGCCCTGTTCGGGAGTTCAACTACAACGGACGAGTCCGCAACAGTGAACGAGCCAGTGTCCGAGCAAGCTCTGGCGTCCTTGGTCGACAACACCCTCACCGTAGCTCCTTTTCCATCTATTCCAACTATTCGTCCTATTCCTCCTCATCAGACGGAGGAGTAGGAGGCGGGGGCGGGGGAGGAGGGGCCCGAGGCTCGGTTCCAACTGGCGCCAGAGATGGAGGGGCAGCACCACCAACGCACCCACCACCACTACCACGTCAACCGACACCGACCCCATACACGGCGCAACAGCCGCGGCGTATCCCCATGATGGATATGGTGACGCCGCAGGCGCCGGGGACGGCGGGCACCGCCGGCACCGCTAACACGGCGGGGACAGACGCCACGGCCGTCGCCGGGACCGAGGAGTTCGTGAAGCGGCAGCCCTCGCAGCAGCAAGTGCGGCATCCGCCACCGACGTACGCCCCATCGCAGGATCCGTATAGTCGTGTGAGGTTCGCGGACGAGGAGCGGAGGCGGGAGGAGGCGGCAGCGAGAGCTAGGGCGGGCCATCCTCATGGACAAATCGATATGGCGCAGATCGCGGGCGGGCATAGCATGCGTGCCCTCTGGGTGTTTGCGTGCTGTGCCTTCTTCTGGTATCGGTGTTTAATGGATGAGGACTTCTGACGCCGTCTCTCCCGTTCTGTCCGACATGGACTCTCTTTTCATCATTCTTCTTTCCTTTGCTCTCACTCTCATCAGGTTTTCCTTCTCTCTTCTCCCCTCCTAGCGCTCGTTCCATTCGTTACCTCGGCTCGGGGGCGATATGATGGGAAACGTCCACTCTAGTGGACCACGGGCTGCGCTCGGCATACGATTCGAACTTGTCGCTGACTCCTGGCAATGGATGTCGGTGCCACTTTCCTTTTTACATCTCTTTCTTTACCTGACACTTGATGTCGATGACGAAACGAATGATCGAGCTGAACAACGCATCTTTGTTGGCCAGGGAGGAAATTATTGGATTTTCAAGAGGAGGGAAAAGGACGAAGTTGTGGCGAAACGATGATGACTTAGAAACGCCAAGAAAACAAACATGAATGATGATAAGGTGGGAAACAGCAACGAACAAGAGAGGGATGGTACACACGAATTACAAGGCAACAACGGTAACAGGATTATATATACACACACAGAGATGATAAGGCGACCAACAGGAATACTGGGGACAGAGGTATCCGCTTGAAGAATATAAAAAGAAGCTGGCATACCGGGAGTCATGGGAAAGGATGTCTGAACTATGGGCCATATGGGATCTGCTTATAGTATAGATCAGCTGTACTTGTACCACACAGTATACTTTTTCTTCTTCTCCGCTTGCAAGCAATTCAAAGCATTTGGCTGACTTGCACATGAACTTCCAAGGAAGGGGGGTGAGCATGATGACGACAATGATTTGGTATAAGTCCGCCCGTTCGATATCGCGCACGCAATCGCCGCCCCTTGTCCATGTTCGTCCCAGTTTCTAGTGAGATCTAGGAAGGGTTTAAGCAAGAGAGCGGGACGAGCATCCCGAAAAGACGGCTGGTAGAGGTACACGGCGAGCCAACTTGCCGCCCTATAGAGTTTTCTCTCCCTTGCCATCAGGAGGGATGGGAATATTTGGCTAGGTTTGGGTTGCGGTTAGGTTCCCGTCCAACGGCTCACTGTTCATCGGTCCTTTGTTTCTCCCTCACTTCTTGGTGGAAGTAAAACCTCCGATTGGAACCAGAACGAAAAACGTGGGATCAATAGGTTCATGCTAATGCATGGTCATTGTATGTTATGTATCGTGTCGCAGGAAAATGGGGAAGAGGGGTAAATAACGAGAGAGAGGGGGGAATAAAAAGGCGGGACCCTTGCTTTGCTTCCCGCTTTCTTGATGCGCAGGAATCACGGAGAATTTTCGAGACAAGTTTTGGGGAGACGTTGATGTCACGCTGATGTCGACGCCTCGGGATTGAGTATGTTCATGTTGACGCCGAATTTCTGGGGCAATCTGGTGCATGATATCTACATGCTTGGCTTACAAATACCTCTCTTTCCTTGAGAAGAGCATGTGTGGTGGAGTTCGTGATGTCGTCTCATGATCATCATCATCAGAACAGAAGATGTTGCCTTTTGATCGGACATGGCTTTTCGAATTCCAAATATTAGGCACACCGCACCAAAGAACGAGTGCATTTCGGATTTGACATCCAATATCTTCCACGAGACTACTGTAGTCGAAAGGGGGATCGGTGGCAAGTTAGGACCTGCACATTGCTCGACCTTGGATGTTATGAGTACGCTCTCAGTAGTGACCACGAAGCAGACAGCCGCCGTGTGATAACACGGACTGTTGTCTTCAAGTTGCCCTGCGTAACATGAATTGATGTTCGGCTGATAGAACGATTCGCCCACAATTTCCGCTGTCTCGCGATGCCTGGTCCTAGACATCTAGCAATGCCCAACAGCGAATGCTGATGACCACAAATCCACCCTAGGTTCTGAACAAGAGAAACGATCCGTCAACTTTGTTATACGGTTATGGTAGTAGACATCAGTATGCCTTTTTGGCTCCCTTGTGATATTAACCAGCCAGGTAAAGCAATTGTGGCACAGAGTAAAATTGTTGACTCAAGAATCTTCGTATCAGCAAGTGGAAGAGAAACGTCAATCGGCAGGGAAAATTCTACGAGATTTGGCTTCACTCGGACATTGTACAGCCTGCGTATTCTTCACAAATCATCTACTCTTACGTTCGTCTGAGCTATGCTTTGAGTCTAGAGTGGAACTTCAACGATATTTGGGGTGAGAAGCTGGGCATATTGTCGCTTCATCACAGGGTATGTCCTATCCGCCCTTCAGCCTCCTTCATAACCCAAAACGCCTCAAGCACCTCCGTCCTCGCCTCTTCAACCAGCCCAGAATCCTCACTTTTCGCAAGCCACTCGAGCCGATCCATCCAGAATCCCCACCGCTGGAGACACATGATGGGCGGACCCTCGTACAGAACCCCCTGATATGCTATCGCTTCCTCCGTCAAGCCCCTCTCATACTCTGGCATCTCGGAATAGCCAACGTTCTCCCGCGCCCACCCGAGGAGAGGCCTCGCGCTCTGACGGATCCATTCACAGGCGACGCGCAGCCGGCACTCTGCAACCGCCGGAATGGGGCTCGGCTCCTCCTCAAGCGCCGAACGCAATGCGTCCATTCCTTGCGTGTGAAGGCCCAAGACGCCCATTCCTAGTAACATAGCGCCGAATCTGTTGATGTTGCGCCATTCTTGTGCGTCTTTTGAGGTGAAGCTCTCTGTTGTCGCTTCTTGAGTTGGGTCTTGTTTCGCGTTAGGCCTTCAGTTCCGCACGCAGCCTAGTCCCTCTTCATGAGAGACGACAGTGGTTCAAATGCAACTTACCACTAAAAGAAGCCTCAACGGCCATGTAAAACAATGGCAGATCTTTCCAAACGCGTTGTCTGTCTTCTTCGTTCTGTCAAGTTTGAGATGATCAGTCGTTTGTGATCCACCTGGAAGGTAGCCAGGTCGAATGGCTGTAGAAAACTTTGCACTCGGGATGGTTTCGGACGCAGTCATTGAGCCACTTTTGCATTGTTGTGAAAGCATCATGCGAGTCCATACGTGGACTCAACCGCGCAGGTGGCTCGTCATCTAACATCTCGTCAGTCATTTCAGTAGTAAACTACCGAGTTCCGAGTCCTCGGACCGGATGCTCATCGGGGCAGTATAACTCAACGGGGCTACGCTGGAGGAGATTGAAACAAACCAAGTCATCCAGATCATCCTTTCTCCACGCGCGTCCTGTATGCTGTTCAGAAACCGCAAAGAATAATCTCACGGGATCGGGTCTTGGATGAAGAATGAGATCCTCTTTCAGAACAGTCGAAATGCTCGGATCCGCAGAGTGACGCGCAAAGCGTTTACAGAAATAACATCCCTTTTCGACTGCCTTGGCGAGATCCTCGGATGACTCGTGATGCTGATTGCGACGTCTTCGACGGAAGTCGTCGGCCTTGACTGCCTCTTTGCTGAAAGCATCCTTGCACGCGGTGCAGAGAACGGTGTCGTTTGAGTGGGTGAAGGTTGGACGATGGATCTGACGACGTTTTGGGGGTGGGCTGTCGTCGAATTGTATAGTCCGTTTCATAGGCCCGTTTTCGGCAGACAGATGATTGATTTGATTCTTGAACCATTTGATGATATGACTAGGTTGGTTCTCGAATAAAGTTCAACACCGATAACTGACAGAGTGTTTGTTATCTCGAATTATACATAGGTGTTGTTGAAAGACACTATACGCAGACCGCCCCTTTACCCGCAGAGTCGGTCACGACTTCGCAAGGGACGCTAGGGATTGGAGGCAATTGGTATGGAAAGCAAAGCCCGACCAAAAAATTGTAACAATTAAGTGCAAAAGATGGTCTTGAATAGAAGCTGTACTTAATGGTAGTTGGAATTATCGATGGGATGAATGAGAAGCACCGAAAGCAACTGTACCTCCACCGGAATTGAGGAGGTACAGCTCGCGGTCGTATACAGTGCGGGTGACTCGGGCACACACCAGTGACCGGCACTGTCCCAACTTCACTGCCTGAATTCGAGGTATCCACAACTTCAACCTCACTCATTCATCAGATCAATTTCTCATCTGAGGTCTGGTGCCCGACGTCCCTCACCCAGATAAACTGAAGATTGAAACAGGAAACTCACCGTTGGAGTTCAGATCGAAGTTCTGAACTTAGTGTCCTGAAATCTTCGGTATTCTCATCCCAACCACCCCACTACAAGACATGGAATGAAAGCCCAGCCGATTGTCTACGAACCTTTCAGCCTTTTTCGAAGACCGGCGGTCAGTCAACATGGATGCTCACGAAGACGATAGCGACATCAAGTTGCAAAAGGCCTCATCAGAGCTCATTGCAGAGTTCTCTCGCTCGCTTCCACTCTTCCTGCGCAAGCCTGATGGCAAGACCCTCCGCGCCCGCGTCAGGGTGTCAGAGACCTCACGTCTGACTTCAAGCGTAGATTACCCCCCTGCACTGAATCTCATATCCCTCTACATCGAAACACATTCAATACATGATTCTGACACGTCTAATAGCTCCTTGATCCATTCCAAGAACTGCCTCAGCTACTGGATCCTCATCTACCAGAGTGGCTCCCCCTCCTTGCATCAACGTATCTGGAGCACCTCAACACCCGCTCCCGGGCCCGGGCCCAGCCATCGGCTTCAACCCGCTCCCAGCTCCTGGAACCCCTGAACCTCGCCATCGCCAAAATCATCTACACCTTCACCAAGATCCGCGGCGAAAAGGTTATTGTTCGCTTCCTCAACGTCGAGTCCCGCCACATCGAGCCCCTTCTCTCGGCCCTTGAAGCCTCAGAGCGCGCCTCGTCAACCGCACGCCCCGCGCTCAACCCCCTTTCTTCGCCCCAGTCATCCTCCGCAGCGGCAACATCCTCATCGGGTGCCATAGCACAATGGTCCTGGGAAGAGCGCTACCTCGTCCTCCTCTGGCTCTCACACCTCCTCCTCGCCCCTTTTGACCTCTCAACCATCTCCTCCGCCTCCGCCGACCCGGACCTCACTCTCCCCACGATCCCAGACTTCGACTGGCCCGATGACCTCCCCGGAATCACCGTCCGCATTCTACCCCTCGCTATCAAGTACCTCGCCACCTCCGGCAAAGAGCGCGATGGCGCTCGCGCCCTGCTCATCCGCATCGCCATGCGCCGCGACATGCAATCCCAAGGCGTCCTCTCCGCCCTCGTCCACTGGTCTCTCGCCTCCCTGAAACCTTCATCATCCTCCGACGCTGCGACACCGGCACCGCCGCAGCCGCCCTACTTTTACATCGGCGTCCTCTCCTTCCTCGCCGGCGTCCTCCGCTCGTCCATAAACACCTCCGATATGGACGCCTACCTCTCGCCCATCTTCCTCACCGCGCATGCAGTCGCCTCGGCTGAAGACCCCCAGGATACCACGGCCACGGCCACATCCACCCCGTCCCTCTCAAGCGCTATCCGCTCCGTCGCCGTAGCGCGCAAGATGCTCATCAAAGTCATTCGCTCCGTCACGGTCCTCCTTCTACGCAGCAACAGGTCCCCGTCAGATCAGCAGAGCACCGACGAACTAGTCGAATTGTCCATAGGTTACCTGCTAGAATCCCTTGCCGACAACGACACCCCCGTCCGGCTGGCCGCCTCTAAAGCCCTCAGCATCGTCACCCTCAAGCTTGACCCGGACATGGCCTCTCAAGTCGTCGACGCCGTCCTGGACTCCCTCAACCGCAACGTCTTTTGGACCCGCGACCCGGGCACTCCCAAAGGAGCCTCTTCTGCCACCACCACGCGCGACCTTACAGCCGTCGACCCCCTAGAATGGCACGGTCTAATGCTCACCCTCTCCCATCTCCTCTACCGCCGCTCTCCACCCGCGTCTCAACTTCCCGCCATCGTTCACGGCCTCCTTCTCGGCCTCTCGTTCGAAAAACGCAGCACTTCGGGCGGTTCCATCGGCACAAACGTCCGCGACGCAGCCTGCTTCGGCATCTGGGCCCTCGCACGCCGCTACACCACCCCGGAACTCCTCGACGTCCCCACCGCCGCCGTCGTCGCGGCACGCAGCTATCATCGCGCCGCGTCCAACGTCACCATCCTACAAGTCCTCGCCACAGAGCTCACTGTGACAGCTTCTCTCGACCCGGCAGGCAACATCCGCCGCGGCGCCTCGGCCGCCCTGCAGGAGCTCATCGGTCGGCACCCGGATACCGTCGAAAAGGGCATCTGGGTCGTGCAGGCTGTAGACTATCACACCGTCGCCCTGCGCTCGCGTGCGGTACACGACGTCGCGCTCAGCGCGACCAAGCTCTCGTCGCAGTACGGCGCCGCTCTGCTGGATGGCCTGCTCGGCTGGCGGGGCATAGGCGACGCCGATGTCGTCTCGCGGCGCGTGGCTGGCGCGTCGTTTGGTACGCTCACGCTGGAGCTCGCGCGACAAGCTGGAGCCGGGCCTTCGTCGTCTCCGTCTGGCGGGTCTGGAAACGACGACGTTGCTCAGTTCACGGCGTCCATCGAGAGGGTGCTCGCGCGCCTGCGTACGCTCCAGACGCGCCAAGTCGACGAGCGACATGGTCTCGTTCTCTGCCTCGCGTCCGTCCTGGATAAGTTCCCCGAGCTGCTTGCCGGCAAGCCGGTCGATAGCGTCACTGGAATCGCTCACCGCATCGTCCGTGAACTGGAGGTCCTCTTCAAGGAATTCCAGACGACGACGTATCGTCGACCGGAGCTAGTCGCCGAAGCGTACAGCCGTTTAATCACTTCATCATTCCCTATCCTACAAACTACTTCATCTCCCAAAGGCGCAATCATAAACCTAGAGCCAGGCTACAGGGTCGTCTCAACAGATAACACCGAAAATCTACTCCATGCCATCAAGACGATCGACAACGCCCAGGATACCAACATAATCCCCGACGGTGTAACGAGCTTGGTCTCGACTTTTACCCCCATCGTCAGCGCAGGCCTCGTCCGCACAGAAAAGGAAGCCGTCGCCGCGTCCTCGGAAGCAGCCCTCGTCCTCCTCGTCTTCTCCCCCGCACAAGAGCGCACGCGCATCGTCACAGAATGGGCCGGCGCCGTGCGGCAGCGGCCTACATCGCGCGCGGCCAGCGACACGGGCGCGCTCTATGCGCTGACGATGGCGTACCCAGTCACAACTACGTTTAGCGACGGCGGCAGCAGCGTCGTCTGCGACACCATCCTCACCCGATGGGCCGGCGACAACGACATTGACACGCGCGTGGCGATCCTGCAGGCCCTCTCGCAGAGCGGTCTGCTACGGGACCAGGCGCTCGTGTTCCTCGACCTGCTGGCGGAGGGTCTGAACGATTATACGACGAACGCGAGGGGCGACGTCGGATCGCACGTCAGGTTGGAGGCGCTCAAGGCGACGAGGTCATTGTGGACTATGGCTCTTGGTGTGGATCGCTCTCATTCTGTCATCAGGGGAAACAATCATCACGAGACGGAATGGCTTCCCGCGGCGGTCTCGAAGCTGTTCCTTCGGACGCTGCGTCTAGCTGCTGAGAAGCTGGATCGCGTACGGACTGAAGCGCACGCGGTCCTTGCTCTGACTGTTGAGCCTAGGTAAGGAATACCTCCCCCCCCCCCTTTCCCTCCTTAATCACCTTTGACAGTCGTCTCATGAACGGTGAGGGAACGAAAAACAAAAAGGCCCCCAACTAACAAAGTATACACACACTAGCTTCGCAACAACCTTTACAAAGCTCACCTTTTCGTCAAAAACCTACTTCCAAACCCTCCTAAACCTCTTCGCGACAGAAAACAGCCTGCAGCCGCCCATCGCGGAGCCGGCCAGGGCCGACGCGGGGGCCTGGATGGCGGAGCTGCTGGCGGGGTACGTCACGTCGGCCGACACGGGCAACGAGGACCTGGTCATCGCGTCCCGCGCGGCGCTGGCCGACTTTTGCGCCGCGTCGCCGCGGAACCTGGAAGCCGTCTGCGTGGCGCTGGTGAGTAACGTCAAGACCAGGCAGACGCCGGGCCAGGGCCAGGGAGACCGCGTGGTGGTGCCGACGCTCGAGATCGTGGCGTTCCTCTGCCACGTCGGGCTCTTCCAAAAGTGTCGCGAGGTCGACCTGCGGCACCTGTGCCTGCAGGTCCAAAAGGCGGGTTACAAGACGGGTAATGTGAGGAAGCTGGAGGCTTGTATCAAGGTGTACGGCTGCGTGGCTGGGTTCGACGAGGTGTGTGCCGGTGTAACTGAGGAGGACCTCGGAAAGGAGGAGGAGGAGGAGGCGGAGGAGATACTACGGGGTAAGAGACGGGACGGTATCTCAGAGGCTAGGAAGCGGCTCGGCGCGTTGATGTTTCATCCCTGGCCGAGGGTGAGGAGCCTTGTCGTCGACGAGCTGTGGAAGCTGTTTGGGGAGCAGGAGGATGAGGGTGAGCATGGCGGCGGCGGCGGCGGCGGCGGCGAGTCGCTCAAGAGCGTCGACTGGAGTAAAGCCGATAAAGCCTCCATCAATCGCGTCGTGGAGCAGTTTGCATTGTCTCGGGCAGCCTAAGATAGTTCAAACCATAAACCGTACATCATCATAACACTGCGAGCGTCTGGTTTGGGTTGTGCAGAAATGCTGCGACGAGAGACGTTCCTTTTTTCGTCCCAACTACAATTTGCAACCTGTCTAGTCAGTGCGGTCTCTGCTTTGAGGAGAAGAAAGCGGTTCATCTGCCGAACTACAACGCTTTCGCGGGAGAGGAGTGCGGGAAAGGGGGGGGGGGGGATCGGCGAGCTGTCACGGCAAAGACAGCTTCCCTTCCCGCTCCCGCTCAGATTGTTTTTCAAGGTTCAGCTCATCCCTGGGGAACCTTTTGTCCCTTCGGCCGGCAATGCAATACCTCATGTCCAAACAAACAATACCAAGTCGGGAAAGAACTCAGAAGTAGAAGCTCAGATCAAAAAAAAAAAAAACCACGTGTGTCGGCAGGCCGCAGCATAACCTACCCAAAAGCACGCCTTCATGAGGTCCGGCGGGGGAGGGGGAGGACGGGAGGGCTTGATTTGCCCGCTCCCAGACGGTGCGTTACCGGGCAAGGAAGGTGAGACTTTAGGGGGGGAAAGGGTTGCAGCCAGACAGCTCGCTGTGGAGGGGGCCGAACCCTTTCATCTTTCATGCCCGACTTTGCTGCAGTGTATAATGTACAACATTGGCGGAATGTTTTCCATCATCATTGCTGGTACGGCAGTGAAATAAACACGTAAAGCTATATTCTGGACACCCGTGGGGGAGGGGTTCACCGTAGTCATATCCGACTTTCGGTTTTATAAGACCGAAAACTTCACGAAAAAAAAAGGCGCCAAGCCGTAGTTCATCAAAGCACCTCAATGCTATTAAATGCGTAGAGACCATCCATCAGCCATCTCGCGCGCGGCCGCCGGCCACCGAGGTTAGACGGACATCTCGCCGGGATTTTGCTACCGACAAAGTACCGATGAAATCAGTCGTTTCCCCCGGGGAGGGCAGCAAAGGCAGAAAGATTACACCAATAGTATTTTTCTTTTCCGTCAATTTCCATGTCGATCAGATTGTTTTTTAACTTCCGCTATCCGGCGGAAACGAGGTGCTGGGTCCGAAACAAAACCAGTAGAAATGTTGTTGAATAATGCCAAGACCCCGTTGGCTCTAGGCACCTACCTAATCGCAAACTCTTCGTGCAGAAGGCCGCGATGGTCGGTCGATGTCGGAATGTACGTTTACAAATGCCTAGTATAGCCTCTTAGCTTTGAAAGTCCTTGTGTTGGAGAAAATCCTTGAGCGAAAACTCCAGACCCGAGACCGAGTTTCTGACGTCCTGGAGTAGTGTGAGTGCCGATATATTGTCAGGTGCCTCCCGTTTACGAATGTAAGCCAAGCATCCCGCAAAAACAAATTGGATCCGACAATGGTGTTTCATGACCAGTGTACCCTTTCCCCCTTCACGTCCTTTACGTTGTGTAAGCCGGAGAAGCACTACGTACACGTCTTCCACACGGACGTTGGTGACGTTTTGTCGATCGGATGACAACGCACGGCTAGTGAGAACCATAAGGCGTAGAGTAATTCTGCCTGATGAGCAAGCCGCCAGTATCGGATACCGAAGCAGATCATAAGAGACAGGTGCACAGGCACACAGACAAAAAGTCAACAGCCGCAGCCAACTGCTGACTACTGAGTATGAAGATTGAGGCTGGGGCTCCTTGGACTTTGGAGGATCGTTCAGAGCGCGGAATCGGGCCGTTGTGACGGTGCCATTTTCGAAGCAGTGTGTACCAGTCAACCACGGCCTAGGAGCCGTGGGAGCGTCTACTGCGCATGGGAGGATGGGATCGGATCCTTTCATGTCTCAAGATGATGGAATGTCTGGTACAGCGGACACGCTCCTAGGTGATATGAAATTCCCGCGGGAATTTGTTTTTGCCAGTAATTCGTAGAAGCTGGAAGATTGAGGTAGCCTGCGCCGCGTTTTAGCAACGCCATCGACACGCAAGTGGCAGCGACGCTGTGGCCCTGCAGGCTTGTTCTTGGGCACCTTATCCAAGGCTGTTTTGCACACGTAACAGACAAAACCGCCGTGTTGATAACCCCAAGCATGGCTTGACGACCCCCTTGTCAACTTGTTCTTGTACCTGATGCCATTCTTCGATAGTCTGGAACTGGCTCGCCGTTCGTTTCTCCCTGGCGGTTCTCTGCTCTTCCACGTGGATTTGACACAAAGAACCCTGGAAAGCAATTTCAACTTCGAGGGACGCAATATGATGGGCGTCGGGGGAGTTAGTCTCGATTTAGCCATGGTGTGGCGGACGAGGTTGACCTCGGATTCCCCAAGGCGCAAGCTGGTGAGACAAAAGTAAGTACGCCTGTAAGTGCTCCCCCCCCGGATTGAGGGCTTGTCAGGTGGGCGCTAGGAGATGGACGGGGTGAGATACCAAGCCCGAAGAAGGAAAGGCGAGTGGCAGTAGACGGCCGAAAATGGCGAGGGGTAAGTCGGAGGCGTAGTGCGGTAGACGGATGGGGGTGCGGGCATCGATGTGGGATTTTGATAAGTACAAAGTATTAACTTGAGCTACTTTGGACGGAAAGAGAGGCTGGGATTGGTCGATTGACGGGCGTCAGGTTAGCGTGGAACTTCCCCCAAGGACCCAAATGGTATCATTCAAAGGACCTGCTCAGTCGGGCAAGTTGGCAGATATGCAGTGAAACTCTTCAACATATCTCCAAGGGACCGAGTGGTTGTTCTTTGACAGGTAAAACCAGCCCATGTACTTTCAGGAGTTGCGTCGATGCGGCCGATTCCGCACGAGGATTGCGAGAATCCAGCCACAGGGCCTGGCTAAGGAAGGATGTTGTTGGGTCGGGAACAATCTCTGGTAACCTAAGGTACTGGTGTCTGGAGGCATGCCGGACGAGCGGTTACTAGACGGATACTAGTTGCTAGTTGAAGACTCGGGCGCCATTGGAAACGTATCGTATCTGTTGGTTGTGTGGGGTTCTCTTGTCCTCCGACTTTGGGATTGACACTCTTGGTCCGAATCGAGGCTCGGAGCGGTGTCGCGTGAGCTACAGCGGTGTGAAGAGGCATACTTGGTAACGCCACTCTGCCTGTTGGGTGATGTTGTCTCGTACATCCCAATCAATTTTCGCGAGCTCTGGGCGTTGGAAAAAAAGATACATCAAGAGGGCGGTAATTGTGGGCTCGATTGTCTGGAACAGACATTGGTCAGAATGGCAATTGTCTGTTCCAACCGTATGGCCGAAGCTGGTGTAAGCCGGTAGAGATATGATTGGGAAGGCATGGCTGGGAAGGGTCGTAGAAGGAATACCTTATTACTTACTACGCAGTACGTATGCATATCTTAGGTAAGGTGCTGAGGAGGGCCATCACCAGTGGCGTGGCATGGCATGGCATGACATGACAAGGCACAGGCGGCGCGGTACTATGTCGAGGCAGAGATAGGAAGTGCCAGTGCGAAGCAGCAGGTGCAGATGCACATGAGGTACCTTTGCCCTTGCCTTGCGTTGGGGAAGCAGATTGAATCCGCAAGGCACCCTATTGCTCGATGCTGACAGCTGCTGCAACACACACTGGATGGCAGATTGCAAAAAAGGACGGGAACCTTTGAGCGCCGCTACTGCCCGTGACTACGGGCGGGACCGGATCTGACCCGCACGGCGTGGCAAGGAAGGGAGGTGCGTGAGACGGATGAGATGGCCTTGTACGGCTTACAGATACATGACATCCATAAGGCCAAAGGGTGGTGTATCCGGGCTGGAATAAGCTATGTAGCAGCTGAAGCATGATGAGTACGTAAAGACAGAAACAGAGCGAGCAACCAACCCATCTCCATTGATTGATCCATCTCGATTGTCACAGCCGAATCGGGCCACTTATGGGACCCCGTGCAAGCCGTGGACTCCATCGTGGTTCCCGGTGACAGGAAACTGGATGGATCTGGCCAGTGGGAGGTGGGAAACAGCAACCTAAGCGGTGGCCCAAGCTTTCCCCCCGATGCTCAAGACCTCAATGTGTGTGCTTCTTCCCAAATTCCCACCCGTGCGTGCCGTGCCCCTTCCTCTCCCCAGAGTGGTATCCGTTCTGTGCCGTTATGATCAGTGGTCAGTGGTGGTCCGGCGGCGGGTGTCATCCACTTGTCGCTGGCTAGGGCCTTGACCAACAGATGACGAGATGGCCTCTCCCGCGCTGTCCACTGTTGGGGCCGCACGCAGGGGGAGCAGACTCCAGAGTAGGGCAGGACAGGCAAGGCAGGGTAAATCGCAAGCAAGGTACGGATACGGCAGAGACACGGGTGCATCGCTGCATCGCAGGGCAAGACATGATGGTGTGCCTTGAGTGGACTGCGACTTGCAGTTGCCGTTGCCGTGACCGTTGCGTTTCGCTCCCTGCGGTCGTGAGGACGAAGACGGCAATGGCGTTCTGATATCCGAGTCAAAGGTATCCCGAGCTCGGGGGTGAATGTCATGGTATTTTAGATACGGAGTACCGTCTCTGTACATTCTGTACAGATTGCATTCCGTACAGACATTACTCCAAATCCCCGTGGCGGGCTTGGTGCGACGCACACCACCCAAGTAGGTTTCTCACTGCCCGCCACAGTCGGTTAGTCTGGTCTCAGAATGGGGAGGGAAAAGAGACACGGATGGTTTTCTCACCTGACTCGGAAACTAAAAGATATCAGCTCGTTGCCCGTATCTGTGAATACCCAGGAATAAGGCCTTGACCGAGGGTGGGAAAAGAAAATGGGCATCCGCATCCGTAATTGTGAGGAAAGGATTGATAGGCAAAAGCAGCAGGTCCACCCACACCCGCTCGACTGCTCTTGCACTTGTTCGACTTTGCTCCTGCTCTCCGTACCTGCCAGCCTGCCGTGCCTGCTTCTTGCCTGCAATCTGCGTTGCTTTCCTTCCTTCCTCCCGACCCAGCCCTTGCTCAACACACGCCCCCCTCTCTTTACCCCCACGCCCAGTCCCCTACCCCTCCTCCTCCTCCCCTTCCTCCTCCACGTCCCACGGTTCCAGTCCCTCTTCTTCCTCACCCTCAGTCCTGGATCACAGCTCTCCTCTTCTAAGTTCTCCGATCTCCAAATCCTCCCCCACCACCGCCTTATCCTAACTATGTTCATCGCGCGCATATACCCTGCATTTTTGACCTGCCATCGATTGAACTCAAATTTCAGCTGGACTGTCGACTATCTCGCCTTAGCACCGCTAAATTCTTCGGGACCCAAGTCACCCAACACTTGAGCATACTTTCAATTCAGGAACGGCCTAGCCTCATGTCGACCATGCTTTCAAGTCTCGAGTCTCGACTTTCCCACGCGGCAACCCTCCTTCTCGGAGATCTTTCTCTAGCAAGAGTGAGACAGACAGCTTCTGATCAGGCAGGGAAGAAGGCCCCGTGACTGTTTACTGGTGTTGCTGATGTACAATTGCCAGCGCTATCGGACCGCGGTTCATGCCTGGTCTGTGCCATGGTCGGCCGATGTTGCGCACATCCCTCCTTAATAGGTAGTGTACTCGGCTGTGATCGTTAAATGCTGATACCCGAGGGAGGAACAAACGGCCTTGACCTCGAGGCATCGGACGACGCTCTGATATGGCACTTCTTTTCGATGGATTAAGTTGACTCACCTCACCCGGCGGCAACGCAACGGCCATGGCTTCCGTCTCCTGCGTCAGCCACCTTAATGGCTTGGCAACTCGTCAACCTTCCACCCCCTTGATCTTGCAGGCGTCCGCCGTGACTTTGTGCCATCCGCTTATTCCTCGCCGACCATTTGTCTACTCGGCATCGGCTGTTGCCTCCCACCCGCGCCAGCTCAACAGAACAGAGACCCAGGCACACGATGCCGACAATCGTGTACTTTGCGCCACGCCAACGCTAGAGCATACATACTCGACTGGGCGGCTGTTTATTACATGACCCTTCCTAGAAAGCAATGATAAAATACGGGGACACACGAGATACTGCAGCTGTCCACTTTGGGACGACAGCCGAGACGCGAATGCGCTCCTCTCCAGCTCCTGCTGCGCTATCCAATTCCACATGCTCGAGTCGGCCGGCCGAGCCCACCATCGCCTCAATCCTATCACCCTTCTCGCTCTATCACCGCCTGCGGTAACCTTTCGCCTGTCTTCACCGTAGCGGCAATCAATGGTGCCTCTGATTCACCTCCGGTCTACCAAGAAATCCTGGCAGTGTAACCAACACCACCAAAAAAATTCACCACATGGTCAATATCAGACTCTCAGTCCATAAGCCCAGGCTCGGCCCCCTCGCCAAAGTCCAATTAAACAAACCGCGGTTATCTATGTCTCTTCTTCTCTAGGATTCCCAACCCTCAGCCGTGCAGCGCCATCAGGCCATGGCGGCCGTCAACTGCATCGAAGCAACCAAGGAGACATGCATCTTGCTGGCGACCATTGGTACTACCAAGTGCCAAAACCTGTATGCCCTGATCTACTAATAAAGTTGCAAAGCTTACCAACGCGTCGGACCATGCCACCGTCCTTTCTTCAGTCAGCAGGACAGTGCAGAGCAGGGCAGGGCCATTGGCAACCCAAAGACACTTTGACCCTCCACAGCCTGTGAAAGCCAACCCCTGTCGATTTAACCTGACAGCCATTGGACATCCTTGTGGGCGACTCTTCCCCGGTAAAGAAAGAGGGCAAGGGCCAAATCGCCTCCGCATCGTCTCCGCGCGCCTGCGTAGGGACTATTACGGGGCCCTCGAATTGGCTCAGTACGGAGGAAAATAGTATTCGTACACAATGTTTGCTTTGTACTCGGCTCGGTTAGTCCATACAATGATTGATTCTTAAGAGGGAGTCAGCATGTGGGCTACTGTGTATACTGATTCGATGAGCCAAGGCACTGAATTCGCGACTTTCCCATTCATGTCAGTCAAGGAGGGGGCGTGCGCAACACGGCCGTTCAACGGTCAGTCCACCAATCCTGCGAAGAAAGGCTGGCCTCTCGTCTGCCGTCGCCTTATCTAAGTGGAGAGGCGCACACGACTGAGAAATCAAGACCACCTCCAGGCTCCTAGGCAGTCAAGACAAGACGACACAAGTGGAGAGGGGTTTTCGTTGGCGCTCTGTCTGTATGCCGGTATACGATAACGGAGAGGCTTGCCAATGCATCCAATGGCTCTAGAGCCATGTACGATTTCTTGGGATAACAGATACTTTTGCTTCCTATGGAGTACGGATACCACGAATCGAGGTTGATAGCGGGACGTCGATGACCTGAGAGAGTGCGGCCAATCCCTTGGAAGAGCACGCGGCCAGCTCCGACACCGACGGCAAGGGCATGTATTTCTGGCTTATCGAGTAGGCCACGCCGTCAACACAGCCGATCAGACTCGGCTGGACGACATGTTCTTCGAGAATTACTCCATCGTCGAAGAGACCGTTGCCAAATTCGCAAAATGGCAAGATGTAGCTGGAAAGTGCTGTGGGAAGAGATGTGGAGGCAGTTCTGAGAACTTTTCGCGCATGCTGCAACAAACGCAGCAGCGCCGGTTCGATACCCGTTTTTCGTCGGGTTTCGACTCTTTGCCCGTCCAGCCGCAGTGTCTGCGCAGCGAGCGCCCAGGCCCCAAAAGACTATTGTCGTGTTCAAAATGGAGCCCGCCAAAGTACGCGAAGAACCCATGCTGACTGTAAAGCGAAGGCGAGCTACAGAGTACAGAGTACTATTCTTGCCTCAACTCACCTTACCTTGGGCTCGGGTTCCGCAGCGAGTGAGACATTGTCGCGGGACACACTCGGTCGAGGCGAACGACTCGAGGCCCAAAGCTAGGTGCTTGTCTTTACCACCTTAGCTCCTAGCTTCCCAGCCAACTCCGAATCACCCCCACCAGATGAGCGAATCGGTTACATCTTGAACGCGGATTAGCGTCATTCCAATGAGCGTTGGCAGTTCTGCGATGGCTGACCGCCGTATCTTTCTGTCAGTACGGATACGTACTAGATAGACTAGAGACACGTATACATGGCCCTGGGAAAGGACCGAGGAAGGCGAGACATCAACAAACGACAAACGACAGTGCCAATGCCACTTCCAATGCCAATGCCAATGACTGACAGCATCTTGGTCCGCCACTGGCTTGGGATATCTCTCTCCTGGAGAGAGATGGACACGGCCGGCCTTGACTGATGCCCCTGTGGTCCCTCTCTCTCTCTCGTCGAGTGCGCCGCCAATCCGTTCACCCACCCGACCTCCTCACAACCTCTCACCTGTCGCCCTCCAGCCGACAGGATCAGGATTGGCCAGCCAAGAAAAGCTGGTGATGCACACCACCAAGTCCCTGACGGCACACCCTCGCCCAGTTCCTTGTCACTCCGTCCCACACCCCCCAAACTCTTACTCCCAAGGGCCCGAATCCCCCATTCATCCCTAGCGCGCAAAGGGACCTTCACCAGGTATCCTTGACTGCCCCCCAACTTGGCCATCCCGGCCCAGCCTATCCCATTGCCCATCTCATCCTAGAAGCCGCTAGGAGGGCGGCGGTATGCTCACCAGAGACCTGCCTCTATCTGCGTCTACTCGGCGGTGCAGCTTATTACTTACATCCACTCCTCCGCAGTATCTAGACCAGGCTCCATTCCACGTTCTCCTTCCACCACATTCGACATCTGTCCGTATTTTTTTGCTTCGCCATCCAGTCGGTCCAGAGGTTTACAGGAATAGGAAGCTTTTCTGGTTATCTCTTACCGTGGCCGAGACGGTCATGCACCCGCCTCCATCACCGCTTCTAATCACAGCCGGATCCGGTCCGCTTCATGTTGCACCGTTCGTCCCTTCGCAATCGCAAAGTTCATGCATCAGACGCAATAACAAACGCTACAATACCCTCACCAACCTCCCTAGCAACACTGTGCTACTCTTCGATCAACCGATAAACTGCGCTACTTCAGCCTCGAGATAGTCATCATCGTCTTTGCCATTGGGACAGTTAGCCGAGCCGATTCCTTGCACGAAATTCGACCCGCCCGCTACGTCACGTCTCGACCTTCGACGACGCATCCTTTTCCTCGCTCGTCGTGCCCTCCGCGGAGGTCGACGGGCGTGGATTGCTCCAGTCCATCATGAGCCTCTATACTGAGCCACCCGAGTTGCGCAGTTCCTCGCAGGACAAGCCCTCGCTATTGGTTTGTTGGTGGATAACCTCATTCTGCACTGTTATTATCCTACTGCGGGTTGCCGGCCGCTTCATTCGAACCGAAAAATTATTTCAAGAGGACAAAGTCGCAGCACTCGCCCTGATCCCTCTATGGCTCCGCATGGTTTGCGTGCATTTTGTCTTGCTCTACGGGACTAACAATGCCGAATTTGACGGCATCGCATTATCCGCGGAGGTCGAGCGCAGGAAGGAAATCGCAAGTGGTCTCGTGCTTGCCAGCCGAATCTTCTACGCAGCAACGTACGTCACGGAATCCCCTTCATGAATTCCCCTTTCATTTCTTATTCTTGTATTTTTTTTTTCGCCTTGCGCCCGCAACACTTTGTGCAGCAATTTCATCACTGGATCCAGTGGGACGGTAGGATGGCTTGCTAACGCCTTGTCTGTGCAGACTGTGGATTCTCAAGAACACTATTTTAGAGTTCTTCAAGCGTCTGACTGGCGTCACTTGGGCACGTTCCTACGAACAGACGCTGGTGTTCATCAGATGCACCTTGGTCGCAACCTTCATCGCCATTATCATTAGCGATTTGGCAGAATGTCGACCTTTTAATCACTACTGGCAGGTTACTCCTGACCCGGGTGGTCAATGCCGCCAAGGGTTCGCTCACCTCCTCACCATGGCGACTTGTAACATCATCACCGACTTGCTACTGGTCTTCTTCCCGATTCCCATCATTCTGCGGAGTCAGATGAATGTGAAGAGAAAGATTCAGCTCACCCTGCTCTTCTCGCTTAGCCTGGCCGTCGTCGGTGTTACTATTTATCGTGTCCCCCATGTCATGAGGGCACATGGCAAACAGCAGCTGCGTTCCGTGCTGGCATCCGTTGAGCTCCTTTTCGCAACAACGGCTGCAAATGCCCTAGTCTTGGGCTCATTTGTTCGTGATCGCGGCTTGAAGAAACAAAAGTTCAAGTACGGCTCTGTGGCAGAAGATTCAATAGATCGCAGAGGCTCCGACTCGCGCCGTCCCACTCTCCATCGTCATTGGGGAAGTGACGAAGATCTCGTCCGAGATGTCGGCCTTGGTGTTGATCCTGACCTACGAGAACGCGATGAGGAACGGGACGAGTTCGACAACGAACAACAACGGTACACTCCCGCACCAATGGCCAAACCGTTTGGCGAGGAGCTGAGACAGTGGCAATTCCCTCAGCGGCAACGAAGCAATGCCGAACGCAGCGACGCTTCTCTCTTACCCCACGACCTTTCCTCCTCAAGGAGCAACTCGACCACGACACCGCGCAGGGTCTCCTTTTTCGACGTCGGGGGTTTATTATCAGAGGAACAGGTTGGAGTCGGCCAGACATTCCGCAGGGACAGCATTGTCTCAAGCGTGGACCCTATGGCATCTGGCGTCCACGGCGTCCCGTCACCCACCCTACCCGCCGGATCGAATGGTTTACGTCGCGGATCAACAGCACTCTTGCAAGATCTTGGCGGACTTTTGGGGCCCACGAAACCGTCGCGACAAAGATCCAGGACTGGCACGGAATTGCAACCCATTCCTCAATCGCAACACGATGATCATCCATCTTACAACCCTCGCCCCGGCGAGCCAACACTTATCGATCCTGGTGGCTTACTCAAGTAGTTTGGCAACAACTACGCAGAAGCTGACCTGTGACATACCACACAATCACCTAATCTCAACACGTTACGACCACGAAACTACGACTATATTTTATGAGACAGTACATGTATATGTATATTGACGATCTCAGCGACATTGCTGGGGGCTCTTTTTGGACATGGGGAGTTATAGAGGTTTAGAGCCTTTGGCCGGCGTTTCTATAGGTCAATGGGGGACCGGATACGACCATACTTTACGTTTTGGAATTTTTGGAGGAAAGAACTATTTACGACCAACGGGAAATGGGCGTTGGAGGAAATCCCCGGAGCGGCCTTTACGATGATATCTGAACGCCGTCGTTTTTTGCTTCGCTGCTTATCGTTATATATACCCCGGCGCAAATAGCCGTCATGTTTTGTACCTGAACAGCTTGTTCCAATATCATCACCATCTACAAATAATGAATGACGAATGACTCTTTATGGATTGCACTTTCCCCCCCTTCTTAATCATGTCCGCTTGCTTTTTTCCCGCAACTGCAGCAATGCGAGAAGCTCGGTCCCGGAAGGCGCTTTCCGTGATGCCTGGTCCCTGCACGACGTTTGTTGCGCATCTCGGCCGACGACCCTGTTCCCTACAAAAAGTCAACGACTGACTCTTGTCGCATTCTGCCCGCTGCCAGCAGAATCCCTTCTTTAATTACCCCTGAGGCATGAGTGTACTGTGACCATGGTTCTTGTATCTTTTCTTTAGAGTTTTCTTGGCCAATTACGATTTTTTCCTTTTGATTTTTCTTAGTATTTTCTTTTCCCTGCTTTTTGGTTGTTGTTCCGAGGACCGACGGTTTGACTGTTCTATCTATTCTATCGCGGTTGTTGATCTATCTGTGTCTGCCTGACTCAATGGCGGCCGCTTGACGCTGGGCGCCTGACTCTTCCCCCTTTTTTGGAGGTTCAGGAATCCCTAACCTCACATTACAACAGACTTCAGACTCCGCACTCCGTACTTTATCCCTGAGTTCAGAGCTGGGTTCAGAGCTGGCCCGAGAATCCTACTACGTCGTGGGTATGATTCGGGACAGGAAAGCATGAATCACTTTGTATATTGAGGAGTCCTGTTCTGGTGAGGAGGTTGCTGGGTTTGTGGAGGGCGATCAACCTAGGGGTTTAGTATTCCTAACTAAAACGATCGGGAGGCTGTTGATATACGCGGTACATGGGAGCCCACATGGCACGTGTTGAAGATGGATAGGAGAGGGGGGATCTTGGATAGATTTTACAGAGGTGTTGATGCCATATATTAGCACCTCCATATCTATATTCTTCTCCCCTTTGTGGAGGATATCTACTGAAAACTATACGCGGTGGATGAAGGGGCTTTTATGATTCATAGGTTATGATCGGTTATTTGATAAGATATAGGAAGCTCATTAGGTGGTGATGCGTAGGGTGTTCATCCAATGTCTTGGTCCCTGTCCTCTATCTCTGCAAATTTATCAGTATTATGGAGCTTTCAATTCTAGACGCGGATGGTATCACGGGTTTTGAGAAGGATTTCCGTTTTCGTACACCTCCCTCCCCTCTACCCGGGACTAGGCTCCCTGTTTCACCAGAGATGAAGATGTATCGAATGAGTAGCCCAGAAGAAGGGAGTACCTCATATACTTTTGAGTCGGTTTGATTTTGTTTCGAGGCCAGTGAGGTTGGCTGCGAATCGAGACATATGTTAAGGATGATGTTGCGATGCAGGCGATGTTTACGTCGTTCAGAGAGAACATGTATGTGATGAGTGGGTTAGATTGCAAAACTTTGTAAAGGTGTTGTTGATGAAGGTGGGACGTGGGCATCGGAGGCCTTGCGAAGTAGCTGGGAATAGGCACAAGGCAGTGTTTCTAT